CTGGCTAGTACAACCGGCACTTTGTACCTACCAAATCCTGATAAAAACTTCCGGATGTACTAGCCAGGATGGCGTGGCCTGACGTGAGCGAGTTAAAAATTTTCGTGGACGTCAAACAATAAGGGAAACGACTAGAGTTACGCTTCTGGTATAACTTCCTATTCTGTGATAGGACTCTGTAACTCAGTTGGTTATAGCGCTGCACCGCGGAATCGCAGGGCCGCAGGTTCGATTCCTGCCAGAGGGACTATAGTCGCATTTTCGCAACTGTTCCTGGTTAGGTGTAAATTTTCGTCTATAAAACCTTTCTACAATTTTAGAGGTGTTCAAACTCGCTCTCAGAGCTATAACACTAGGGATGTGAACCTCGCAATTAATAAAAAGAAACATTAATGAATAAAAACTAAAGTTGAACAATTCTAGAAAGCTTGAAAAAATCACTATCCAGTAGATAGCGCTATCCGGCCTTCGTATACACAAGCATGGACCCTGTTTTTTTCGTCTGGTGTTGATACTGAAGCAGGATGGGATGTCAGACAGATGACGCCGTTTGACTGATGACATGTCTCTAGTATAACTGATATGTTGTTATTCTAGTATCAGGCCAATATATCATGCATGCTTATTAAGCCTTATTTATTCTCCAAATGTTGGCAGAACATCATTATCTTTTCAAAATTCAAACTAATATTTTAATACTATCGTTTATTTGTTCAGATGTTTTGACAGCCCATATTTTGTTCAGCCAATTTCCCGCGTTTCGACGCATGTTAATCAATTATTAATAATTCAATTAAATATCGAGCACACAGATCACACCGCTGACCATTTCCTTATTTAACATTGGTTAAAGCCCCATGACATTAAACCACGACAGAGAAGTCGCTACACAGAAGTCGGTATACATCAATTTGCCCTGAAGGTTTTGAACACAAGTACTTTTAATCGAAGGGGATGCTAATTTAATTAATCTCTGAGTAATAAATCCACATCTATGGTATTCATATTTTATGCACTCGTGCGACAACGCTCACTTTATACAAAGCGATTGAACAAACGGAAAAAAATTAGCATTGTTCAGCCACAAAGCAATGAGCAGCAACATGACAGTCGCAAGACCACAGAAAGTTAAACCCCATGGCGTTTTGAGGGTTTTATTCTTGCTGCTATTCATTGGACTACAGATTCAACTGACTTACACAGATGACGGTAATTGTTCATAAATCTTATTTCCATATTTTGTTTTTCTTCGTAATTTCCATCCCATCCTACGTATACAAAGACTATACGCATAAAGCACTGGAAATCTCTTTCAAAATCCTTACTATGGAAATAGTATGGATCTTAGTTGACGATAGTTGGAAATCCAATTTTTATACTAATTGCAATTTACGTACTATGGATATAGTATGGAAATAGTATTGATATACTATGGGTTTAGCGGTGCAATCGCAAATTTCATAATATGGTTTCACTAATTTTTCCAGTGTAAAGCGGATTTCCATTCGGTGCAAAATGTTGCGCGATCGACTTTCTGCGATCGCTTTCTTTTGAAATACAAACAGTCAAGCGGAACAAATCTCATTAGCTGTAGTTGACTGCACATATTTCAAAAGAAAGCGATCGCAAAAAATCAATCGTGCGACATTTTGCACTGAATGGAAATCCGCCTTAAAGCCGGTTTGCCACTAGGCGGAATTTTTCTTTGTCTTGTGATTTCTCGGGTGGAACTAATCAGAAAAGACAAAGAGAAACTCCGCCTTTATATATGGGACTTATCCTGGTACCCTCGGTAAATATAGTCAATGGCAGTGCATACTGTGTGTATATCGTAGTGTGTACAGTGCATATATTTTAAGCCTGGTTGACAGGAATGACACAAGCATAAGGAAGACAAAAGGCAAAACAAAGAAATGCAATGAGGCATGCGACATAAGGCATGCTTAAAGCAAAAACTTTAAGCATAAGCTTATAAGGGAACAAAAGAAATTTCAAAAGAAAATTCTGTCCGCCTTGTCTTTGCAATTAAGTCCCAAAGGTAAATTTTCTTTGTATTTTCCTACTTATGCTCATCTCACTGTGAACCAGGCTTTAGCCTCTTCATTAATCTGTGGTAAGTATGACCAGGAATATAAAAGAAAGCCTTTGTCTCTAGCGTTTGGAAAGACAAAGAGGATAAAATATTTTGAAACTCTTTTGTTTTGCTGCATGTGAACAGGTTCAGATAGGGTGAGAGATAACCGAATATTCAAAAAATACACTTCTGGGGCTTGAAACACAAAGTCGAAGTTTTTTCAATTTTCCTTTTGAAATGCATTGAGATACTGATTTTAACATGCAAGCCAAGGACAAGAGTCTCTGCAACATATAGTTATATACGTCTTTAAAATTTACGATACTATTAATATGCAAATGTTGCACTTGATTAAATAATTATATAAGGCAGTTCAGCAAAGGCAAAGCATGTTTAGCACAATCAGTTGTCCTAAGCGCAAATAAGGGCGCCTTCCACATACACGGCCACATAATACAAAACCTCTCGATGAGAGACTGCTGTAGCTGCAATATTTGGACCAGATCAGCAGGTCCATTTTGAGCAGATTTCCCGCCTTTACGAAAATCCAAGATAGGCGGACGGTACAGAATGTACCAAACATGCGTTCTCCGAATGAATGGATTCAAATATTTATCTCTATACATTTGGGGATTCACTACCGCCGTAGTTATCATACCATAGAGCAAGGTTGATTCTTTAATGTTAAAAACATACATCGGGAAAAGATAAAATTGCGCGGTATTTATAATCTAGGGCGAAGCCCATTTCCGACGCGGTGCATGACGAAGGATCGGTACTTGCTCGGAACAGTCACCCTTAAGTTCCTCATTTTTTATGGGTTTTTTTATGATTGTTCACATGTAATATCGAAGTTTCTTTGATTAAAGTGTGTATCTGTTTAAATATCTTTCTCAGACACAATGTACCAACGTGTATACTGTATATATTGCGTCCGTGTAAGAAAGTAAACGTTTATAAACCTCAAGATACAATGTATCAAAAATATATCTGAAACAGCCTTATAATATACAGCTAATTCAAAAAAGGTTGTAATTTGCAAACCTTAAACTCTAAACCTTAAACTCTAAGCGTGCAAAGTATAATGGGAGCATCATTTAATCAGTTCAGAAATCATATATGGGGCCCATGGTAAATATCTCTTATACGAGAACAATTCATTCACAAATAGCTGCAATATTCAACTACTAAGGCTAAGCTTGAAACTTCTGCTTCCATTAAGCTTTGCGCGCTTAGTGTTTAAGGTTTAGAGTTTAAGGTTTGCAAAGGATAACCTTTTTTGAATTGGCTGTATATAGACATCATTATATCAGTCATGTACCTATAATATGTATTTAAAAGGTAATATTGCTCTTTTGGACTTGAATAATAGATTAGTTACGCAATGTTGTTATTTTTTGGGGCACACTTAAGTTAATGTATAAACGCCAAAACATGCTTCCGACAACCGATCATACTATTATTAAAACGACGAGATTTCATGCAAATTTGCAGTTATTATTTACAAGGATCAAGTGATTTGAATTCTCTCACGGAAGCTTTTCAAGTATATACATGCACGACTCACGAGGAAAATTTTGGCATGCATGCATTGGGGGGTCAGAGTCTAAAATAATAAAAAGAGATTGAACTCACTGAATAATGCCGGCGAAGTAAAACGCATCCATACAACTGGTCGTTTATATATATCGAGTTATTAGGGAGTTTAAGTTTCACGTTTGCGGGAATGGCAAACGGCAAGGTCGAATTTTCTTGGCATAATTTTCGTTCGATATCTGCGTGTCATATTTTCTTTCTTATGACACAGGAATAGTTAAGCATCCTAGTTATAAAACAACAAGCTCATTTACTTTTTATTGCTTCATAGCGTAAACTATAATATATACTTTCCCGACTATAATAGAAATGAGAAGAAATTTGGCAGATGTTTAGTTTTGTTGTCTTTTCTCGTTATGAACACAGTTGGCAATTAGAAATTAGAATCACACAAAAACGTCAACGTAAACGTCAAATATTATGCAATATAAATATTACTCTTTAATATAGTTAATATGGAAGTCGCATTTCAATACTATACCATGCATATATATTTCCATATGATAAGGGGTTTTGAAATTCCAGTGTACACGTGTACGCGCCCCTCATGTATATAAGAACGGTGTATAAATATATACAGTACTACGATTGATATCATGAGACGTATGCTCTGAAATATATAAATTTTAAAAACAATATTAGTCTTTATCGATATCGACCCTTGCAATTAATCAAAGTTTCAATTTATGCGCGCGCACTATATGAGAAATGACAGGGAATAATACGCAACAGCATCTGTGTTGACCTAACAATATCCCTTTCAAATCATGCCGGTGTCACAGTAACGTCTGCGCAGGAGGCTAGTGTCACAGCGGATATTATACAACACAATATACAAAGTGCCATTGAAGAATTAATATGATAACGGAGGTCGTTTATCGTAAAAATTATCGTAAAAGTTATCGCAAAAATATTGTATTTTTACACCCGCCATTTTGCTTCGCACGAGTTACGCATTTGAATTTAATTCCATCAGTCTCAGTATGAAAATTGGAGAGGTTCAGATTTGACTTGACCACTACCGCTACATATACTGGCTTAGTG